CGGTCTGGTTTCCTTTTTCGCAGAATAGCCCCTTCTCTCTCTCTCTCTCACACACACACACACACAAACACGCACTGAGCCTGTCTCCGTCGCACTGCTGCTGAGATACCCGTGCGCCGATAAACCTTCACCCCAACCCCCACCACGCCCCGCCACGCCCCGCCCCGCCACGCCCTGCGGTGGCAACAGTAAAGGGTGCGTCCATAAACGGCTTCAATAGAGGCGCTTTTAAACATCCCGCCACGCCCACCCCTGTGGGCCGCATATGGCGGCCGCTTTATAGGGAGGTGAGGCGGGGCGGGAGTGCGGCGGTCACCTAATGGTCAGGCCAAGCTGCGTCAACCTCAATGTGAATCCGGCCGCGTCCCCCTCGCCTCGCACGCACTGCAATGTGGTGATGTGGTGGCCTTAGGGGGGGGGGGGGCACCACCGCAGGGCTAGCTTTTATGGGCGAAGGGCAGCCCTACAATAATTCTACCCCAACGAGAGTCCCTGACCCCCTCCCTTTCCCGAGCCAGGCCACACAGCAGGGGGTGGAAGTGAGGGAGGCCGGAGGGGGGCGAGGGGCGTCCGGTAAGGGATGTGGATTGTAAGATGGAGCAAATTTGCGGTGAGGTGATGATGGCTGACTTGAGAAAATGTAATGAGAGAGTATGTAGTTTAGAGGGTGAGGTGAGGGTGGGGATACGAGTAAGCGTAGGTGTGGCTGGTGAGTCTATAAGTAGAGGTCAGCTTCAGCCGGTCAGCACAAAAAATCCGCAGGATAAGGCATTGTGGTTGTAGATGTGCATCAGTACTATACGTATTTCTTTACGTTCGGAATGCCCTTGATCCAGCCGCGCAGTTTTGGCACTGTTTTCTATTTACCAAGCGACATGCGACCCACGATCTAAGATAACTGAGAAGAAGACGACTACTTTTCCGTAAATTTTCTCGACCGCGCGCCACTTTTCCCCACCCCCGCGCCCACCCGCTCTCCTCCCTCGCGTTACCACCGTTCCCTGTCCCCGAAGCGAAATCCCGCTCCGTCACAAAGAATGGCAGCTTTGTCTCCTTAAGCCACGCCCGAGCCCCGTCCTGGGCGGGGTAGGAGGGCCAGGGGTGCGGTGGTAGAAATGGAGTGCGAGGATGGAACAGGAACGGTGCCCGGGCGAGGCGGGCGAGGCGGGCGAGGCGGGCGAGGCGGGCGAGGCGGGCGAGGC